GGTATACACCCTTCCCAATTTTGAACCATGCAGTGTTTCCTTGCTCTGTTCTAAGACTGCCTCCTGGTCCAATTACAGGTTTCACATTAGCACGATCAACTGTTCTGGGATTCTCATTCTTCCCAGAGTCAGCCAGTTTGTTTTGATTCACAGAGTCAAACACTGTTAGCGACCTCTCCAAAGTACTGAAGAGCAAAGTACTAAAGTGTCTGTCACTCTGTAGACTAAGGTGCGCCAGATACAGGTCATAGTCTCTGCAATCACTTGCTATGCATCAGAGAGCTGGACAATGACTAGAGAGGATAGAATGAGAATTGATGCCTTTGAGCTGTGGTGCTAGAGAAGAGCATGGAGGGTACCATGGACTGCTAGGAAAACAAACAGATTCATCCGGGAGAGGATAAAACCAGGCTGCTCCTTGGAGGCAAGGATTCTGAATCTTCATCTGACATACTTTGGACATGTTGTAAGGAGAGACCAGTCCTTGGAGAGGGACATCATGCTTGGGTGGGTGGAGGGAGAGCACAGGAGAGGAAGACCATTGATGAGACGGATTGATTCAGTGACTGGGGCAATGGGGGTAGGTGTGTCGGAGATAGTGAGATTTGCACAGGACAGAGCAGGGTTTAGGGCTGTTGTATACAGGGTCACTATGAGTCACAGACAACTCAACGGGACGTAACAATAGATGACGATGTACTGAAATCTGAATTCTGTATATAAAAGGTGGCCTAAGGATGTGACAATAAGATAGGTCAAGGTCTACTTGTGCTTCTCAACCCTCTGTTGGATTATTCTTTAACACATTCATGTAAAGTCTGTTTTGTGAAATTAGACCCATTGTTCAGAATCACTGCTTTCTAAATGGAATCACTAGGCATTCCCTGGAGTCTAGTATGATGTAAATGCTAAAAGAATTTAGATAATATTCCATAAAGGCTCCCTCCTGAAGCATGATTAGAATGCTAAGTGCAGAATCTGAGGAATTCTGGGAGCACAGCCAGGCTCCTGACACGTCTGCAGAACACCATCACCATGACTCACAGCTATCAAGCTGGAGGGAGGCCACGGCAGAGTCACTGGATCTCTGTAACCAGGTTTCTTCTTAGACTGAGGCAAATCACCCAGGGCCCAGAGCAGGTGGTAGTGATGACCGTGCACCTGTGCATATGAATTCTCCCTCAGGACTCAAACGGCCTGGGGACAAAGACTATTATTTGTACATGAGGAAACTGAGGCTTAGGTTAAGTGACATCTCCTTTCACTGCACACTAGTGCATCTCAAATGAGATTTCTTCCTGGATCATCAGTATGCAGCCAGTTACAAATGTATACACCAGGGAGTCTTAGCAGACTATGACCCTAGATTCCTCAAAACCCTGTATTAAATAAGCTCTGGCTTGTTGTGTTGTTGTTGCCAGAGCTCCCTGGTAGTAAGGAATTTCACTGCCAACCCAAACATACATGGTTCGAAGTCACCACCTGCTTCACAGTCTGAGAAAGATGGGCAATCTCCTATCATGTCATTTACTGTCTCTGAAAACCCACTGGATGATCAGCTATGGGTCAGTTTGAACTCAATGGTATACAACAACATTTGTTAGGTGGCTAAATTCTCAGCTGCTTACTAGAAGGTTGGCAGTTCAAACCCACCAGTCACTCCATGAGAGGCTCTGCTTCTATGAAGATTTATAGCATGGATGTGCTCTGCCCTGCCTGGCCACCATAAGTGGGGATTAAGTAGGTAGCAATGAGTGGGGATTATATTTGTTGAAGAAGCATTTCCAATCTACTTTGACGTCTCCATCATCTGCCTCTATATAATAAGTTCTTTCCCGATGTGATTAGAATTTTATTCACTTCCAAGGACATTCTTGGATAGAAAAAGCAAGTGCAGTTAGAGAAGATGCTGATAATTTATTACATATCACCTCATTCACAGCATTTTTCAAGTACAACATTTCGCTCAACATCATTTATACTGAGAAACAGAATGACTTGGTAAGGCACCAGGTTACAACTGTCTGGGAGAAGGCTCTGCTCCCAGTTTGGCTTGAGTAATAAATGCTCAGTTCCTCTGAAGTGTGTCAAGAACAATGGCCAGTATTATAAAACACTCTATTCTATATACATGGTAAAAAGAGACAGCAAGCGAGTTTTCGAGCATATCATATGGTAAAAATTATGACAGTGACCTACACTTCAGAAGTTAAAGTAGTAGTCTCTAAATTACAAAATTCTTTTCTGCACACCAAGCTGTAAGTCTAATAATTTTTAAATTCTGATAAAATCAATTTGATATTGAACCAAAGTGCATACTTTAAAACCATTTTCCTACCAAAACTCATAATTTTACAAAGAACTGAAAGTAAAGGAAACACCAAATACAACTGTAACTTTACTACTCTTCAACACTCAGCCATGCATTTAAAACCGCTACACGTAAATGCCAACTCACTTGATTTGTGCTGGATTTTAAGCACTAATCCACCTGCAACATTTCTTTGTTTCCTATGATTTTCAGGGCAACATCAGGCAAAAACTGCTGAAAAAATCAAACTCTTTAGTACAGCTTTCAGAACAGACTGCACAAGGCTTATCTTCTCTAGATGCTCTGCTCCTGCTCCCTTGATGGCTACCTAAGGGGACCAGGGGCAACCCAACACACCGTCACATGCATCAGATGACTTCCTAGTTGTGTATTCTACCTTAGAAATTATTTTGCATAGTACTCCATGACACCTGTAGTAACATAATAAAAAAAAATGGTATTTAAAATCACCTACCAGTTAAAGAACTCTCTCACTGCTTTTCCCCCATCATTCAGGAAGATGGAGAGGAAACACCCCCCACCCCCAGGAGGGGTCTCCAGTTTTGCACATCAAGGCTGGTCAACCCGCCAAGAGGAAATACTTTCGACATATAGTTAAGCTAAGTGTTGCAAGTTTAAAATGCATTTAGTCAGATTTATTGTGAGCATTTCCACAAATAAAGTATTTTAATCATTTGAGTTGTAAATGTTTCCAAAAACTATCACATTATCAATTTTTCAAGGTACTGAGAAATAAAGAGTAAACATTTTACTGATTTAAAAATTAACCTTTGTTAAGCAAAGAAATGCTTTCATTTTTACCTAGTTATAGGAATAAAAGAGCTTTTGGCCTTAAGCATAACATGATCTTTTATTTTTTTCTATAGAAAAACACAAAATAGATTTTTTTAAAAGACAAGAGCCTTCAAAGAGAGAAAAACCTTCTACCCACTATCTTTAAAAATTTTTCCTAGAGTTTGTTATTGCATTGGTTTTGAGAAATCTGTTTAATGTACTGCAAGCTTGGCACTGCAGTTTAATACACTTGTACTATATTTTGGCATGTGAGCAACATACCTATCAAATGAAAGAGACTATTTTCCTGATATGGCACTTTTCCCTCTATAAGATTAAATGCTAAGATCTACTGTCTTAAAGGCCACAAAAGTTTTACCAATGTGTTATTTCAATGCCCACCATGAGGAAGCAGCAGAATATGAGGGAAGTGGTCCCAGTATCCACCCTGCTTTTCAAGACTTAAAACACGGCTCCACCAGCTTTCAAATGGTTTTCTTTTGCTTTGTCTTAAGGTTTTTAAAAATATAAAACACAAACCCAAACATATCTAATATTTCCTAGGGCACAGTAAAAAATACCTCTATTTTTCAAAAGCCTTCTTTGAAACCAATCTTTCTTAAAAATCTGTTTTGTGGTCATGCGTCCTGCCCATTTTCTAAAAGGCTAAACTGGCAGCAAAGAGAGCTGCACACACACACACGCACACGCACACATGTGCATGAGTGTGGGTGTAGGCACACGAGTGCATTCTGGCTGACACCAAACCTGAGGCAGCTTGTGTGCCAGCAACATTTGCTACAGGCATCTTGAGACTATTCACCTTCCTGCAGATGGGACAGTTTAAGTATAGAGGTTTTTAAAAGTCACATAATGCTTCCTACTCCCCTACCTCCCTGGTCTTAAGCAGTGTGGTGTGTGTGCTCCACTACCTTGTAGAGGAGAACACCTCCTACATGCCTTACTTCCTGGGTCTTGTCCAGTTTGGTGTGTGCTACAGAACCTAGCAGAGAAAACATCAAACTAAAGAACAGGTAAGAACTACAGATGGACACCTGCTTGCCCCTCCTGGCATTCTGGCTGTGTTTAATACTATGTAGCACAACTGGTCTAAGAATGGGATATCCCAATACAAGTTCTCTTTTGGGTTTAAACAAAAAGCCTCAAAATAAACCACTGCCCACAAGTTAATTCTGACTCGGCAATCTTGTAGGAGGGTAGACCTGCTCCCACAGGGCTTTTGAGGATGTAATCTTGATGGAAGCTGGTTTGCTGCCTTTCTTTCTCCTGTGGTGACTTTTGGGTTCAAACCACCAACATTTTGGTTAGTAGTTGAGCCCTTAACTACTGAGCCACCATGACACTTTTACATGCACTAAAATGGCACTGAAATCAAGGGAGGGTTAACCACAGCAATTCCCATTTTGTTCTTCTGTACATTATAATGTAGGAAAACTTCATTCCTGACATCTAGCTGTGAGGTGTCTTTTTTTAGGTGCTTTCTCCTGTGTAAATTCATTCAACTCAGACTAAACGGTGACTCATAGCTGGCCTTTCTGCAGGTTTTTAGGGGCTGTAAATCTCAGAATACAAAGCTCTCTTTCTTAGAGCTACTGGTGGATTTGAACTACCAGAGAGGTGCCTTTGCGCTATCAAAAAGCACAGCTCCCTACAGACTAGGCCACCAAAGCTCCCTGCAAATTCATTCAGAGGCATAGAATTCTCCATTTCCCGAGGTGTGACAAATTCTTAACTCACTTCAAAAATATTCTCTGTAAGTATCTCATTCCCAGCTCAGATAGACAACAAAAAAAGGCAAGAAAAGACACAGAAATCACCTTCTATAATACACACTCATTATCCATACAGCTCCTACATAATAAACAGAATTATTTCAGCTAATATAGCTTCTAATATTGATTTCATCTGGAAATAGCTTTGTGAGTTTCTTGCCAGCATTATACAAAACAGCAGTATTTCTTCCACCAGGACTTGGAGAGGTTTTTCATCTTGTCTGGAGTCCGGCTCTTGGGCTTCTTTGGCTGTTGTTGAGTGTCTGAGTACTGAATGCCAGCAACTATGGCTGCGTCAAAGACTTCTTTCAGGTTTTTCTGAGTCAAAGCTGAACATTCTATATAAGAGGAAGCTTTGATTTCTTCAGCACAGAACTTGGCCGCCTCTTCAGGCACGGGCTTCTCTTTGCATTTGTCCAATTCAATGAGGACTTTGACATCTTCTCTGAGATCTGACTGAGTTCCGACCAGGATGATGGGGGCTTTGGGGCAATGACACCGGATCTCAGGGACCCACTTCTCACTCACATTCTGGAAGGACGTAGGGCTCACCACACTGAAGCACAGCAGGAAGATGTCTGTGTTTGTGTAGCATAGAGGCCTGAGCTTGTCAAATTCATCCTGCAAGAAAAAGAAACATCCAGACATTATTCATCCAAACAACTGTCATCAACCAACAATTCAGTCTTAATAGTTTCCCTTAAAAGAGTCCGGCAGGTAACTAAAAGCCACTGGTTGTACAGAAGAAACCACGATCCTGCCATCTAATGGGAGTCCATGCTACCAAAGCAGACATAACAACTTTCTTCTTCAGTGGTCTGTTTTAATACTCAACACATTGCTGCTGAGGTGGAAAACAACTCATAGCTGAACCTCAAGTGAGTTTTAGTGTGAATTGCACAAGAGGAGATTGCCCATCTTTCTTCCATAGAGCTGCTGGTGGATTCAAACCACCGGCCTTTGGATTGATAAAACAACTTCTCACCCACTAGGGCATCACAGCTTCCTGCTCTCACACTTGCTGTGTGCCATCAAGTCAGAACCAACTCACAGCTATTGGAATGGACTCATAGCTTATCCTCTGGTAGATTATCAGAGGCAGTTAATGGCATGGGATGAGATTACCTATCGTTCTCCTTTGAAGAAGCTGGTGGATTTGAACCACATGTCTTAGGGTTCGGCCTTCTTACCACAAGGCCAGGAGGGCTCTCTATGCTATAACACTAGGGCTGCCATAAAAGTTTAAGAATCAGTTCTCATGATCCACTTACAATTTATAGAAAAAGCACTCAAAGTAGATGAATTTTATAAATAACAATTTAGCCTTTAGCCCAGAATAATTCAGACTTTTTATCTGGACCCTTGGTCCCTAGCTATGCTTGTAAAACAGATTCTATCAGTATTTGTCTCTGGATTTCAATGTGGCACCAATAAATCACAGTCTTTTACCACAGCACTTCTCTCTCTAAGACTGCAGCTTGGTGACAACAGTGGTAATGTGGCAGTGGTACTGGCCTTACCTGCACCATTCACTCAGAATGGGAGGGTGATGGTGACCAGACAGCCTGGTCAGCCAGAAATAGGCCTCCTTCTTTTTGCTTCCTCTTGTCTTTCTGGTGCATGAGTCATGCTACTGATAATTTCTCAATGGCCAGAAATAAGTTAAACATTATCCAGTCATTTTGTTACTCAACTTGCATTACTTATAAACTAAGGCATAAGCATTAGTTTCTGCCTATAGCTTTTTCTTCTAGGTATGAAGAAAATCTCTGTTTTATTTGAAAGTCCTTTCTGCACTTGAGACCCCACATTACCACGCTGTGTTGGAGGGGGGCAAGAGCCAACTAACAAGCACTTAAGTGAACTGGCCAAGATGATGAGAACTGAGTAAGGGGTGCCAGCCATTTGCTGGTCTTCTAGGAGTAAAGGTTAGCAGACTACTGCAGTTTCTTAGTCTCTTAGTGCTACTCTTGCTCTGAAAGAGTTGGCACCAGAGCTCAAGCAAGCACATGGCAGCTCACTTCTGAATGCTTTTTAATATAATGTTACCTCTGTTAACAGAGGATCTCAGAGTAAATTGTACCCAAATTTGAGATCAGTTTTAAATCAATCCCTCAGGGATCCCTATACTTCACCTTCAAAATGCCAGTCATCTTGCATGAGAAAAAGGCTGGCACAAGAAAAGTCTGGGTTTGTGACAAGGGTTTGGAAACCGGACTTCACTAGACCTCTTTTAGAGTCTGTCTCATGGGCTCAGAAAGCAAAACAGAAATTAAACCCTGCTGCTCACTGCCTGATCAGAAACCATAGATATTTGCTAAAATAAATGCAAGACACATTAGCACGAGGAGGCCAGCTGGAACACTCTGCTCAGGGAAATGTGCTCTGAAGCCAAGCGGTTTGTGTGAGCTTGCCAGAGCCAGGTCTGAGTATGAGAACCAAACAAGATACAGTTTGGTGGCTGGGTAAGGGTGCAGATGGCAGGCAGCTCCACTAGGACACGTCCTTCTGATCAAGCAGCAGCTGGATTTCCCCCCAAGTATTTTCACAAGAACCTCCTAGGTCTGAAGGTTGAAAAATCTTCAGCTCCCACGGTTGGCAGTCTGAAGTGAACTACTTTTATTTCATTCCTTTCTTTTCAATGTTTCTTTCTTTTATGCCAAAGGTTTCTTTCTTAATGTTCTCAGTTTCTGATCTATTTTCACTTTAGTAAAACTCTGCAGCCACTGTTAAAAAAAAGTCCTACTAACATGTACATATCATCATACAGGGAAGAGTTGGAAGTCAGAGGAAGATCCTCTAAGAATGGGTAGACCCAGCGAGTGTAACAGTGGGCTCAGGCATATCAGAGCCATGATCATGAAGGATAGGGTGAGGTTCTGATATGCTGTTTATAGGGAGTCCTTGTTGGCAAAAATAACCCTCCAAAATGAGAAAACCCAAAGGCACAAGATGTAATTTCCAGTCTCTCAGCACTAGAGCTAGCTTCTCGTCATTCAGTTCAGCGTCTAGTAAAGCCTGCATTCGAGCTGCCTCTTCTGACTACCTGTGCCTATCAGGGTTTCTGAGACCTGACCAGTTAGCACAGATGAATTCCATGAATTAGAGCAGAGATGAATTCGATCAGCTGGGTTAATGCTAAGAAAACACTGCTGGTGTTGATTCAAGTCTGCTGAAAGATTATCTGGATTAGCTTTGCTAGTAGTCAAAGCAAATGCTAAGATTTTTCTGGTACAGTTTTAGCTAGAAAAATAAATCAAGCATTCTGGGAAAGGTGGGCAGTTGTCAGTTTAAGAGAGAAAAAACTCAATGAGATGGACAAAGTGATGACAATGATGAATTAAAACATGACAGCAATTGTGATCATCGATGGCTTGGGACAGAGTGATGTGCTGTTCACAGGGTCGTGTGAGTCACAGTTAACTCAAAGGCACCTAACAACAATTACATATATATATATACACACACTATATATATACACAC